GACTTTGACGTTATCGATGATCGGTGGCAGCCTCTACTCCGTGTGCCTTGGTACGCGTGTGCAGGAAGTAGTATTGCGTTGCGCAGTCCATCGGATCATTGGACGGAGAGAGGAGCGCAGCGATCAACTCCCTCATGCGTCCCCATCCCTTCCCCTGTCCTCCTCATCCTCATCCTCCTCCTCCTTTTCCTCCTCATCATCCTTCTCATCAATACCATAGTCATCACCACCACCATCACCATCACCACCACTACTACCATCCTCATCATCAGCAGCAGCACCATCATTAGCATCACCAACATCATCATCCGCAGCAGCAGCAGCAGCACCATCAATCGAATCATCAACATCATCATCATCATCATCATCATCATCATCATCATCATCATCATCATCATCATCATCATCATCATCCTCATCCTCATCATCATCATCATCATCATAATCATCATCGGCATGAATCCTCGTCATCATCATCAGCATCATCAGCATCATCAGCACCATCATCATCAGCATCATCAGCATCATCGTCAATGTAACCATCATCATTTTCGTCAACAGCGTCAGCATCATCATCACCACCACCATCACCTTCACCACCCGAACCACCATCACCATCATAATCATGGAACTCATCATCATCGGCAACATTAGCATCATCATCGTCAGCATCATCATCATCAGCATCATCATCACCAGCATGGCCAACACTGTCTTCATCATCGTGATCATAATCGTCATCATCCTCGTCCTCCTCCTCCTCACCCTCGTCCTCTTCCTCATCATCGTCGTCAGCAGCAACATCGCCACCACTACCGCCATAAACACAACCACCATCACCACCACCACCGCTACCACCACTATCACCGTCATCACCATCACCATCAGCATCATCATCATCATCAGCATCATCATCACAATCATCATCAGCAGCATCATCATAATCACCATCATCCTCACCATCATCATCACCGGCATCACAACCCCCACCAACATCACTACCATCATTATCATCAGTACCATCATCACCACAATGATCATCATCAACAGCAGCAGCAGCACCGCCATCATCATCAGTTGCAGCAGCAGCATCAACATCACCATCATCATCACCCCCATCATCACAGTCAACGTCATCATAATCACCATCATGATCACCATCGAGATCAGCATCATCATCGACATCATCATCAGCAGCAGTGGCATCACCACCATCACCATTACCATCGTCATCACCATCACCATCACCATCACCGTCACCATCACCATCATCATCATCAACATCATCCTCATCAGCATCATCATACTCATGATGATGATCATCGTCATCATCATCAGCATCAGCATCAGCATCATCAGCAGCAGCATCATCATCTTCGTCGTCGTCATCAACAGCATCAGCATCAGCATCAGCATCAGCATCAGCATCAGCATCAGCATCAGTGGCAGCATCAGCATCATCATCATCATCATCATCATCACCATCAGCAGCAGCATCATCATCAGCAGCAGCAAGCAGTCCTCCTGTCCCCCCCATCTCTCCTCTC